GTTCTTCTCAGGGGAAGGTCCCTCGGCCTTTCTGCCCTGTTGTTGGCCCTCCAGGGGAACTGATTGGCCACTGTGTGAGACAGGAGGCTGGACTAGATGGACCACTGGCCTGATCCAGCAGGACTCTTCTTAGGTTCTTATAGAAGAAGAGGATTGGATTTAAACCCCACCCTTCACTATCCAAAGGTGTCTCAGAGCGGCTTACAAACTCCTTTCCCTTCCCCTCCCCACAACAGACACCCTGTGAGGTAGGTGGGGCTGAGAGAGTTCTGACACAAACTGCTCTTTTTCAAGGACAGCTCTGACAGAGCTTGTGACTGACCCAAGGTCACATCAGCAGGTGCAAGTGGAAGAGTGGGGAATCAAACCCAGTTCTCCAAGATTAGAGTCCGCGCACTTAGCCACTACACCAAACTGGCTCTCACACCAAACTGGCTCTTGTTTGGCCTTGGCCTCTGTGCCCTCTTGTTGGCCGTCCAGAGGAACTGGCTGGCCACTGTGTGAGACAGGAGGCTGGATTGGATGGACCACTGGGCTGATCCAGCAGGGCTCTTCTGAGGTTCTTATGGCTCGTGTTGGAACTGGCCCAGACGCTAGCTGGAGGCTACAGTCTGTTGGGCAGAATTCTGAGCCAGAGGGGAGAGTTTGTGGGACCCAGCCAGGCAACATTTTATGCCCATGATGCAGGGGAGTTAACTCAGGGCCAGGATGCTTGGGTGGGGCAGGGGGGAAAGAGGCAAGTTGTTACGCCTTCCATTGTTACGGGCCGTCCTTACAGTTACAGCTGGCTCTTAAACTTGCTGGATCGCCATAGGTCAGGGGTCCCCAACCCTTTTAAAACCTGCCCGTGGGCACCACATTGGGGACCCCTGCGGTAGGCTCGCCTGAAAGCTGTAGGATCGCTGGTTTGAGTTCCTTCCTGGCATCTCTCGGCAGAGGAAGAAACAGCATGGTTCCTGCATGTGTCTGTTTTCAGCCCTAGTTAATGCCTTGAACCCGCATGGAGTCTTTTGCAAGAGCCTGATCTATGGGTTGTGCTTGGACGGGTTTCTTGCGTGCATGCGTCGGGCCCTGCGACTGACTGCCTCCACACGACATGCCGGCTCCCGTCCTCCTTGTGTGACCTTGGCTCATGATGCAGAAAGCATTCTCGCCTCAGCTTTCCAACGCTCCTTGTGGCAAACCTTTTTCCACGAGCCAGATTTAATGACACAAGTATGATCCTGACTAGTTGTTTTCACTACAGGATGCGTTGTTTTGGGATGGATCCCACAGATCTGTTAGGCTCATTGCAGCTCTGCTATTAGCAGAACAAGTTCACCGGGCAGTCCCCAGGAATCTTTCCTTCCCCCTCTAGTTTTTATCCATGCAGCTTAAAGAAGAAAAACATAAATCTGCAGGAGTATACCGCATACCATGCAGTTGTGGACAGGTTTACATCGGGACCACACAGCGTAGCATTCAGACAAGAATAAAAGAACATGAAAGACACTGCAGACTGGGCCAACCTGAAAAATCAGCAGTGGCTGAACATAGCCTAACTCAAACAGGACACCGTATTTTGTTCCAGGACACTGAAAGGCTGGACAACACATCCAATTACCATGTCAGATTACACAGGGAAGGCATTGCAGTTCATAAATATAAACACAATTTCAACAGGAAAGAAGAGAGTTTAAAAATAAATAGGGCATGGTTTCCTATCCTGAAAAACACAAAAGGCTCTACATCTGACAATAGCACTACAGATAAGATTAGAATTTCAACAGCCAATCCACATGCAGAAGAATCTCCTCAGGAAAGCTCCTCCATGAGCATGTTTCACAGCCTGGGGAACTCCTACAAGACAATCTCAGCCCTACCCCACCTTTCTGAGTAGATATAAATTACCTGCCTACCATTTTCCTTCTCACCTTGACACAGAGAGTACTCCCTCCTTCTGTGTTGTTATACCTCTGAGGATGCCAGTCACAGCTGCTGGCGAAACGTCAGATCCTACAATGCCAAGACCATGGCCGTACAGCCCGGAAAACCTACAACAGCTAATAAATCTTAAGTTGCTTCTACCACGTGCAAAAACCAAAAAGAAAAAGCAAGTTTTGAGTCAAGTGGCACTGCAGTTACCCACCTTAAATGAGCAAAAAACCCCCCCCCCCAATCTAAAAATATGCTCAAGGGCGTTGGAAAGCAGGCCTGTCGTGGTTATTGGTTTCCCCTTTCCCAGCAGAAACGTCATGAAAGTAAGCTTGATTGCGTGCCAATGCGTTACAAAAAGAGGGCAAGGACAGCGTAGGAGGCATGACGGCTCACCTCCCCCAAGTGAGCAACGGTGCTTCCTCCTGAAAGCCGCGGCCTGGCTCCCAAATTGTTATCAAAAATGTCTCTCTGGAGTCAGGAGCAGTGTTCCCTCTAAGCTGAGTGAGTGTGAGCCATCTCACAGTTCTTTAGCCTCCGGCGCACACGTTTTTATCTCCGCTCGGGGAAGGAGGGCTCCAGAGCAGATTAATTGATGCCGCAGCCAAATCGCCCGCTCACAACTTTAAGGCCAGTCGCTCACAAAGTAGGATTCTTGCTCACAAGGCTCCACAGCTTAGAGGGAGCATTGCTCCGGGTGTCAGGAGTTCAGCCTCCCATCAGAATCCCGAATGCCCGGCCACTTCCGCCATGGCGGTTTTTGCACCAAAGAGTCCAGCCGGCTAAATCGGAGATGCCAGCAGCATGGAACTCAAGCCCTGAATGCTAACTTATCTCGCCCTTTGGTGAATTTTTGGCTGTTGCGGAGTCAGAGGAGTAAATCCCACAATCCCTTGTTCGGAAGAGGCTTTCTTGGCCTACTGGTTCAGATCCATGAACCGTTCTTGCCCCCTTCTTGTACAACCTGCTGCGCTCTCTTCGTCTTTTTCCTTTCTTTTTCCTTTATAAAAAAACCCTTCTCTGCTTAGGTCGGTAGGCGTCGAAGTGCACAAATCGGGCGCCTCAAAGGATCCGGCTCCTCCAGTCGTTCTGGAGAGCTCCGCTAGGTGAGGGGACGGGGGCTTTTCAGACCGAGGCGGCAACTTCCCTTAGCGTCTCCTCTCTTGGCTTTTTGAACTCGAGAAGTGGCCTTCATGGTATATCTTTCATAAATCTTCTGAGAATGAATGTATGGGTTAACTGGAATACCTGGTGCTTGTTGTGGGCTGTGCTTGTCCAGAGAGAAGATTTTGCGCATTGCAAGCAAGACGTTTTTCTCCCTCTCTCCAAAACGAGAGCTTGAGTGCCTCCAGTGAAGCTGATGGGCAGTAGGTTCAGGACGGGGAAAAGGATATACCACTTTACACGGGGAGGGGATTAAAATGTGGAATTCGCTGTCAAAGGATGTCGTGATGGAAGATGAGGGCATCCAGTGAAGCTGATGGGCAGTAGGTTCAGGACGGGGAAAAGGATATACCACTTTACACGGGGAGGGGATTAAAATGTGGAATTCGCTGCTGCCAAAGGATGTCGTGATGGCCACAGGAACAGACAGCTTTAAAGGGGGCTTAAATGGATTTATGGAAGATGAGGGCATCCAGTGAAGCTGATGGGCAGTAGGTTCAGGACGGAAAAAAGGATATACTACTTTACACAGGGGGGGGTTAAAATGTGGAATTTGCTGCCAAAGGATGTCGTGATGGCCACAGGAACAGACAGCTTTAAAAGGGGCTTAAATAGATTTATGGAAGATGAGTCTATTAATGGCTACTGGCCATGGTGGCTGAGGGGAACCTCCATGTTCAGAGGCACTGATCCTCTGAATGAAGGCCTCGGTCTCTCTGCCCTATTGTTGGCCCTCCGGAGGAACTGGCTGGCCCCTGGGTGAGACGGGAGGCTGGACTGGATGGCCCCTCCCTGGTCTGATCCAGCAGGGCTCTTCTGATGTTCTCCTCAGGGGAAGGCCTCGGCCTCCCTGCCCTGTTGTTGGCCCTCCGGAGGAACTGGCTGGCCCCTGGGTGAGACGGGAGGCTGGACTGGATGGCCCCTCCCTGGTCTGATCCAGCAGGGCTCTTCTGATGTTCTCCTCAGGGGAAGGCCTCGGCCTCCCTGCCCTGTTGTTGGCCCTCCGGAGGAACTGGCTGGCCCCTGGGTGAGACGGGAGGCTGGACTGGATGGCCCCTCCCTGGTCTGATCCAGCAGGGCTCTTCTGATGTTCTCCTCAGGGGAAGGCCTCGGCCTCCCTGCCCTGTTGTTGGCCCTCCGGAGGAACTGGCTGGCCCCTGGGTGAGACGGGAGGCTGGACTGGATGGCCCCTCCCTGGTCTGATCCAGCAGGGCTCTTCTGATGTTCTCCTCAGGGGAAGGCCTCGGCCTCCCTGCCCTGTTGTTGGCCCTCCGGAGGAACTGGCTGGCCCCTGGGTGAGACGGGAGGCTGGACTGGATGGCCCCTCCCTGGTCTGATCCAGCAGGGCTCTTCTGATGTTCTCCTCAGGGGAAGGCCTCGGCCTCCCTGCCCTGTTGTTGGCCCTCCCCAAGTCCGAAGTCCCAGCTTTCTCCGCCTCCCTGTACCGTATTGCCATTTGTGATGACAAATTCTCTGGCACAGGAATGTTCAGCCGCTCAGGGCACTCAGACGCTCACAGTCCAACTCCTGTGAGGGATGAGGAAATTCCTCAGTTCGGGTGGGCTTTTCCCCGGGGGAGGGGACACCTGAAGGCTGGAGAAAGGTATCTGGATGCGGCTATGAGCCAAAGCAGTGCTGAAGCAGGAAGGTGTGGAGGGGGATGATTGAGAAGTTTTATTGGTGCTTTCAGAGAATGAGTTGCGTGTGCTCTAGTGCTCTGTCACACATTGAAAGAGGCCTTGGGCCTGGCGAAAGTGCTGGTGCAGAGTGCCGAGAAGTGGCTGGGGTGGGGGTGGGCACTAGGAAAATGGGCACAGTATTTCCGCAAATCTTTGACGTTAGGCAGGACCCCCCAAGTCAGTCCCCTCTTGCAAAGGTGGTTCTGCTTTTCTCTGAACTGCTTTCCCTTCTGGCTGTGTTGACAAGCTCAACAGTGCGATGAAAGCGTCTTGACAAAAAGTTTCATTTGTGTTCTTCTGTGTAGTGGTTAGGAGAGCCAGTCTGTTGTAGTGGTTAGGGAGGGGTGTGGACTCTGATCTGGGAGAGCCGGGTCTTGAGTCCCTACTCCTCCACATGCAGCTGCGGGTGTGACCTAGGGTCAGTCACAAGTTCTCTCAGAGCTGTTTTCTGAAGGGCAGTTCTCGAGAGAGCTCCCTCATCCCCACTTGGGTGGATTTTTCTGGGCCAAGAAGGGAAACACAAGATGCAGCATGTTTTCATCACACTCTGCCTGCCAGCTCTGCCTTTTTTCTGTTTCTCTCTTCCTGGGTGCATTATTCCCAAGCCACTTGGGATAGAGAGCGTGTGTGGAGGGGGGGGGGGTGATTGAGAGCCAGTCTGGTGTAGCGGTTAGGAGCACGGGCTCTAATCTGGGAGAACCGGGTTTGATTGCCCACTCTTCCACTTGCAACTCCTGGTTGACCTTGGGCAAGCCATAGTTCTGTCAGAGCTGTTCTCTCAGGAGCAGTTCTTGAGATAGCTCTCTCAGCCTTGCCTACCTCATAGGGTGTCTGTTGTGGGGAGGGGAAGGGAAAGGCAATTGTAAGCCACCGAGACTCCTTTGGGTAGTGAAGGGCGGGGTAGAAATCCAATCTCCTCCTCCTCTTCTTTTGGGCAGGAATCCCCAAATTGGTGCCCGTGGGCGCCATAGCGCCTGCAGACACCTTTATTGGAGCCCACCAAGGGTTTTTAGAACACGGGTGGGGCCAGATGGAGCTGCGGCCCAGCAGCGTTTCTGATTGGCCGTTGGAGATCCCAATTGGCCGTGCAGATGAAGATAACATGGTTTGAGTGGCAGTTGCCATCGCAGTGTTGGTTTTATTCTCCCCCACTCTTCTTCCCCTATGAATTTTTCTTTTAATCACCCCTCTTCTCTCCGGCACTTGGGCTTCCTCTGTGTGCTTGACAGCCATCTCCTCTGGCAGCTGCTTTCTGGCTGTGCCCATCGCCCCGCATCGGTGCCCACCGGCTAGAAGAGATCAGGGCCCCCCGCTCTGGGGGATGACTATGAGGGACAGCAGCACAGCAAAAGTGAACGGTGGAAGAGGCGGCCATGGAGGGAGCCACTCGGGCCCATAGCTATGGTGGGGCATTTCGGGGCTCTGCCCCCTCAAATGTGAGGGATGCCCCACAACAGCTCCTGCCCCCTCTCCATCCTCCATCCCCTCCCATAACATTAAAAGGGCCCTCCAGCTGATCGGCGGAGCACGTGGCCCGCCGGTCAGCCGGAGGGCCCCTTTAAATATTGCAGTCTCCCCTCTCCCTCCCCTCCTCCAAGATTTAATGGGCCCTCCAGCTGATCGGCGGGCCCTTTAAATCTTGCAGGAGGTGAGGGAGAGGGGCGGCCACCGACTGCACGCCTTCCTTGAACTCCAAACAGCAATTCACTGCTTGGAGTTCAGGCGCAGGCAGCCCCTGCTTGAAAAACACAATTTGAAGGGAGCCCTTGAAGTGGTGTTTTTCAAGCAGGGGCTGCCCACGCGTGCCTGAACTCCGCTTGGAGTCCAGAGAAGGCTTGCAGACACCTCCCTCCTCCCCGCTCCCCTGGCTGCCCCACAGAATTTCCCCATGCCCGAGCAACCCAACATTTCTGGCTACGGGGCTGCAGAACAGAGAGGACGTCTGAGAGCAGAGGACTCGTCCGGAGCGGGGGGTCTGGGCCCGGCCTGCCCTTGGTTGCCGCGCCCTGCCCGGCTTTGCCGAAGAGGCCCCTAATGCCCCTGTCGCTCTCTGCACAGGTCAGACGGAGAGCGAGTGTCAGGAACCGTCTCCACAGTGACCATACTCAGCTTCTACTCCGATAGGTGAGGTGAGACCTAGATAAGACAGAGGAGCGCCAGGAGCCCAGCCGGGTTTTTGCTCCGCTTCAGCCTCTCGCCCGTCGGGTCAGTTATCCTGCCACTGCCACAGGGCCCCCCCCCCTTCTGGGGCTGGTTTGGGGCCACCGGTGCGGAGCTCTGCTGTCCCTCTTTCCAAGCGGGGGCTGACGCCTTCCCAGCACCGAGCTGCAGGGGCTGCGCTCCAGCCCAGAACTGGGTGTCAGGACCGGATTTTGAGCGCACCGCATCAGTAGGGCTTGGGGCAGTTCCAAAGCAAGGCGTGCCGGAGGCTAAAACCCCTGTGGCTCATAAGAACATAAGAGAAGCCCATGTTGGATCAGGTCAATGGCCCATCCAGTCCAACACTCCGTGTCACACAGTGGCCAGAAATACCAGGTGCTGTCAGGAGGTCCAGCAGTGGGGCCAGGACTCCAGAAGCCCCTCCCACTGTTGTCCCCCCCAAAGCACCAAGAAGACAGAGCATCACCTGCCCTGGACTGGGAGTTCCTATCTATACCTTGTGGCTAATGGCCACTGTTGGACCTCTTCTCTTAACATAAGAACATAAGAGAGAAGCCAATGTTGGGTCAGGCCAATGGCCCACCCAGTCCAACACTCTGTGTCACACAGGGGCCAGAAATGCCAGGGGCCCTCAGGAGGTCCAGCAGTGGGGCCAGGACTCCAGAAGCCCCTCCCACTGTTGCCCCCCCCCCCCAAAGCACCAAGAAGACAGAGCATCACCTGCCCTGGACTGGGAGTTCCTATCTATACCTTGTGGCTAATAGCCCCTGATGTGGCTAATAGTCTTCTCTTAGCAAGGTCCCAGGTTCAACCCTTGGCATCTCCAGTTAGAACATAAGAGTGTTTTATTGTATTTTACTCTGCCGTTGTTATATGTAAGCTGCCCTGAGCCGTTGGGAGGGCGGGGTATAAATCAAATAAATAAATTAATTAACATAAGCGAGAGGCCAGTGTTGGATCAGGCCGATGGCCCATCCAGTCCAACGCTCTGTGTCACACAGTGGCCAAAAATACCAGGAGCCGTCAGGAGGTCCAGCAGTGGGGCCAGGACAGTTGGAGCCCTCCCACTCTTGCCTCCACCCCAAAAGCACCAAGAATACAAA